GCAGAGGATTCACGCCAGGGACGGGATCACAGCTGCCCGGACCCTCCACTGTCGGCTGCTCCAACAGGTACAGCAGGTGCTTGTCTGGGGAAAACAGGGCCGGCAGGCGCCGTTAACTGCGCACTGGGTCCCGAAGCACCAGCGGTGGTCTCATTGCGATCAGTGGCCGGAGCGAAACATGTGTTGTAACATGTGGACTTCAGATCTTTCGAAACCCCTCGCGACGATTTTTCAATGCGCAGGCTGAAAATACACCAAGTGTGCTTGACTAGGGTCTGCTCTTCCAGAGATCCTATGGGTCACAGGTTTCCAGTAAAAAATCATCGCGTCGGGCAGGAACTTGCCCAACAGTGCCCGCGCATTGACGCGCCGCATATCCATGGTGCTAGATTGGCTCTCAACATCTCTGCAAAGAAGAGCGCTCTCACATCCGCTTTTTGATCTCAGCAACCAACCTTCCGGCAGTGTGTAGGTGGGCCAAAGAATGAACGCCTCGGCAGAGACGATCTCCGAGGGTCCTCCGTTGCTGATCTCGTACACGTGGTACAACTCGGGGCCGATATCACGCTCGTGCTCTTTCGTCTTTTTCGAGTATCGACTCGCGTTGTAGGCACATCCTCGGGTCGAGAAATTCCTGCGCAGGGACGGCGTAATGTGAATGCAGGATCTTTTAAAAAGGGCTTCAAATTACCGATGATGTGTGACATATGAGCACAATACCCAAGGAAATGACACAGCTCAACGGAAATCCATTCACACCAGTAATAACAAAAAGCTTTGTGTCATGCTCGCCTCACCAGACCAGAACCTAAACGCAAGAAACTGTGTTTATGCCCCCAGAAATCGTGTTCTGCTGCGGCTAATTCGGCGAGTTCGCCGTCCGCTGGGGCGGAGTTGGGTAGCTCCACACCCCTGCCCCGGCGCGACTAACCCTGTGACAGCCATGGCACCGAACACGTCTTTGTGAGCTGCCTGACATGTCACTCGCCGTGGGTCAGATATGGCAGCAGAGGAAAATCCACTGGGGGTCGGCCATCTTCTCATTGAAGTGCGATACCGGCTTGTCAGCACGAATGTTCACAACTAGCGTTGGACGCGTCACCAGGGACGAAGATTAACGCGATATCTGCGGACAATTACCACCTCGCCTACCGGCGACCCGGATCGACGACGCCACAATTTTCCTTGCATGTTCGACAATCCCCGGGGGCATTCAAACACGGACTAGTCGGCTAGCTCCGTGTGGCCTCCACGTGCGGGGCACTGACCTCCGCAGTGTCCGAACACACCGTCAGGGAGCGTCCGTGCCCCCCAGAAGGCCGTCACACGCCGACCTGTCACGGATCGGCCCCAGGACGGCCACGCGCGCCGCGCGTGCTGTCACCCCCGACTGACCCCAGCACGATGAGCTCGGTGTGGATCCGGATGGGCAGCGTCAGTGTGACGTCATTGTCGGCCAGGCTGGCAGGCTGCTCGACGTTAGTGCTGTTGACCGACATGGTGAACTGGTAGTGACGCTGAAGCTCCTCAGACGTGCTTTCTGGCATCATGTGCACGAAGAAGTGGACCTGGAAAAGTGTGGCAGTGTGGTAAGGTCTGCCAGATTAGGCCTGGGCGCAGATATTCCGCAATGTTCCGGCACGTTTGTCGGCACGAGCCATTGTCATCTCTAAACGCTACGGGCGTGTGAAGGCTCCCGGACCTGAACGGATACTAAATCTAGCCTGCGCATGCGTGGAATGTAAAACCCACGGCCCGATCAGGAATCGGCACTAAGTTATATCAGACAGAAGGCTGAATGCTGTGGTGAGCATGTCTTGATTAATATAATGGTGAGCCTGAAAGAACTGGCTCACTCCATTGGGTCGTTTTCAAGATCAAGAGGAACATTCCATGCTTCAAGAACTTAGTCAGTTACTTGTTTTCTTATCCAAAAATCATCAAAGGGATCAAACCATACGTGAGCCAGAATTTGCCATTGTAGCTCATCTTTTTTTTGCCACAAGCCCCCAACTAAGCCTTGTGAAACAATTGTTGCTGTGCACTGCACGGAATGGATGAATCTTACGTAAATTGCATATGTGTTTGGGGGGGGGGGAGTATATCGTTTTAGCCGCATATTGCTACGCCTGATCATCATCCACAGCTGAGTACACCACTTGGTTTCGTCTAAAGGCGTCTCATGGTTGCAAAACATTATTTTACAGTAGCACCTTTGGAAGTCGCCTAAAAAACAATCGGCAGACAAGAATGAGGCAAAGCGTACAAGGCGATGCCACCTTTCCATGAAAGACCCGGAAACTCAAGCTGTCCTGCTTTCGACGCTGACCAAATTGC